TTAGATATCTTTTTTTTTGTCATTTGTATGTCTTCTTGGGACAGGTGTCTGTTCAGGTCCTCTGCCCATTTTTCAATTGGATTGTTTGTTTGGTGTTAAGTTTTATAAGTTCTTTATATATTTTGGATATTAAACCTTTCTCAGAGCCATTGTTTGCAAATATCTCACATTTGGTTGGTTGCCTCTTTGTTTTGTTGTCAATTTCTTTTGCTATGAAGAAGCTTCTTAGTTTAATATAGTCCCATTCATTTACTTTTGCCTTTAATTACCTAGCCTTTGGGGTCAAATTCATAAAATGTTCTCCACAACCAAGGTCCATAAATTTAATACCTATGTTTTCATCTATGTAATTTATTGTTTCAGATATTATATTTAAGTTTTTGATGCACTTTGAATTAATTTTTGTAAATGGGGACAAACTGTAATCTAGTTTCATTCGTTTGCATGTAGCTTTGCTATTTTCTAAGCACCACTTATTGAACAGGTTTTCTTTTCTCTATTGTATGTTTCTGGCTCCTTTGTTGAAAATTATCTGTGCATATACATGTGGTTTTATATCTGGGCTCTCAATTGATCTGTGTCTGTTTTTCTTCCAATAGCATGCTGTTTTGATTATCATAGCTCTGTACTATTATTTGAAGTCAAGTAGTGTGATGCCTCCAGTTTTGTTCTTTTTTTCTCAGAATTGCTTTGGCTATTCAGATTTTTTGTGGTTTCATATAAATCTGATGATTTTTTGTCCAATTTCTTTTATAAATGACATTGATATTTTGATGGTGATTGCATTAAATCTGTATATTGCTTTCAGTAATATAGCTATTTTATGTTGATTCTTCTGTGAACACGGAATATCTTTCCATTTTATTTATTATTTTTTTATCTCTTTTAATAATGCTTTGTAGTTCTCAGCATATAGGTCTTTCATGTCTTTTGTTAAGTTTATTCCTAGGTATTTTATTATTTGGGTTGCAATTGCAAAAAGAATTGTTTATTTTCATTTCTTTCTTGTTAGTATACAGGAAAGCAGTGTTGTTGTTTTTTTAAAAGATTTTATTCAGAATTCAGAGCCAAGAACTCTCATGCAAGAAGTTTACTTAGAAAGTCACATAAGTAGAAGAAATGAGCCAGCTGGACTGTGTGGGCTCAGGAAAGAAGTTACAGAGGCAAAAGAAGGGCCCTTGGAGCTTAGGAGACAGCAAAAATGACATGCCTGGGGGAAAAAGAGGGGGAAAGGCTTGGGCATGAGAGAGAGAGAGAGAGAGAGAGAGAGAGAGAGAGAGAGAGAGAGAATGAGCGAGCGCACACCTTAGGAAAAAATGGGGTGTGGACAGGTATAGGCATGCTCAAGGGAGAGAGAGCACATGCATGGGGTCCTTTGTCTTAAGATTTTTTTATCTGTTTTTCCAAAGGTGGAGATTTTAGAGGAGGTCTTGGGAGAGGATCTCAATAGAATATTCGTTAGCTTTCCAGGTGTGTCCTTTCCTGGTCATGGTCTCTACTGATTGGTTGGTACTAGGGTCGATAGTCATTAGTCATTGCATCTGTTCCTGATATCAGCCATGGCCTTGATTCATCTGGTTTTGCTGCTTTTCTGGGCCTGGAGCTGAAATACAACTGAGGCCTAAATGTCATCTTTAGTTTGACCAAAACTCTGTCTCTGTGATCAACAAACTCAAGGTTTTGTTCCCATGATTATTTGATGTGGGCCAGAACCTCATTGTCATGTAAAGGCTTGTACGGAAGCTATATGAGGCTGTTCTCTGGCTACCTTGTTCCTCTTCTCAGGCGGTCTAAACCACATATGTAGTAATATAAAAGGTCAAGGGGACTAAGCTGCATGTCTAGCGACATGTTGGGGAGGAAAAGTCACCCTGGGGGCAAGGTCCCAGATGTCTGGTTTCTCAGTTTTTCCCATTACTAGGCACCCAGGACTTTCTGCCCTGGTGACATTCCATACTTGGCCTATGGTTTCTTCTCTGCTTATGCCTAACTGCCTGCTCTATCATAATGATGTGGCCACATGAAAGTAACTTGGAAAACTAACTTAGAGTGAAGAGTAGATTAATTGCCTCAAAAGAAGTTAGATCCATTACTGAATTGAGGATAATACGATGCCCTATTGAGTTGAAACTAGAGGCTTGCTCTCTTTAGTAGGTTTCTGTGCTTCTGGTGTCATGCTGTCATGGATGAGAACCAGACAAATGGAGCAGTTATAGGGAATCTGCCCCCAAGACTCTACTCTTCCCTTCTTGGTGGTGGGTATAGAAAATGAAGAGTTAACTGTGGGGCCCAGTGATATATTTTGCTTTTTGTTTAGCATGTTAAAAGTATCATGGATATTTCAAAAGTTCAGGAAGACTGCTGGCATGGCTCTTAAGAGACTTAAGACGTACTGAGGACCTTTCCAAAGTGGTTGGGTGCCCCTCTCTGCTGTTTCTATACTGTAGCTTCTAGGTGTAGTCTGTGATGGGCCAGATGCTGGGTAGCTATGTGCAGCCTCCAACTTGGTCCCTTAACTAAGGTGAGTAATGTTATTTCTGGCCGGTGGTAAAGAATACCAGCTTTGTTTCTTTCATTCTTTCTTGGACTGCTCCTGAGGGTTGGAATGGGGATAAGTTCATGTTTGGATGATTGAAATTCCAAGTCAACAATCCCTATCACAAACCATTAAGGTCATATGTATTTCATAAATCACAAATTTTGAATATTAGGTAATACAGTGCATGTGGAGTATCTTACATACGCAGCCAGTGGGGTTTGGGGCAGCACCCCATAATCAAAATACATTATTTTTATGGAAAAATGCATGAGTATTCACCATAAGTGTAATAAACCAAGTCTGTTAATTGCCTCAGCTCAGTTCAAGTCATATTTTACTACCAAATTAGCTTTGAAAAAAACTGACTTTGAGAGCTTTTCGACTTGAAGATTGCCTGTAAAGGACTGTGGACCTGTAATTGTCATTAGTTTTTTACTTTTAATCAAATTGATTGACAGAGGGAAAGGCGCATTCTCAATGGATTATTTCCTTGGAGGGCTTCTCTGATGAGCTATTGTGCAGGTGATGGGCTCCTGCCTGTGTTCCGTTCAAGATCCCCTCTCTTATTCTTTTGTCTTCCTCTTTGCAGGGATTCAAGTGAGTGTCTTTTCTTATATTGTTTTTCCTTATAGTACCCTTTCCTTCTAAATATATACTCTGAGAACTGAAGAACCAAATGCTAAGGAACATACACATGATAAAGCCAAACAAGTCTATCATGAAGACAATCTGTATTAATAAATGTTCACAAGATAGGAACATATATTGATGATATTATAAACCACACCATTAAATCACTGTAGGTGAAAGAACTCCAAAAACAGGCATTTCATTTTTTACCAGTCCTTAGTCCTGCTGTATGTCTCTGACTTCAGGCCAAGGTCAAATATTCAGCATATTGGGCTGCCAGGAGTGGTTGAATGTCCTTGGTTTTGTTAAATGTCCAGTTTCTCGAAGTCCCAGCCTTCTGGAATCAGCATTCTTAATAGAGGAGCCCAGAAATTCTCATGTTTAATAAGCGATCTGCAGAGGTTTCTTTGTCCCTCTGCAGAACCAGTGCTTGAGTAAAGGTCGAACTGCCACAGCTTTGGAGGCTGTAATCCAGTCCTAAGTTAAATAAAATGGCCCTGGACTGACTTGTCTCTTAGGACAAGGTTCTTTTTGTTAGGTTTGACCTGGATGGAGAATAGGATAAAAATAACTACTCAGTCATGCTTAGAAACAAACCAGTTCAATGTGGGGGAGGAAAAATAAATTTCCTTCTACCCTTCTAGGCTTTTGACTGAAATACCCTTGTTATAAAAGACACATTTACAAGAGAAAAACAAATAGATGTTGAAAAAAATGTATACCTCTGGTATACGTGGGAGAGACCCAGGGAAACAGAGTTACTCCTTGAGATGGCCTAAGCTACATCCTCAAATACCATCTCTAGCTAAAGATAAAGGGAGATGATGGGGAGGGAGAAGCAAGTAATGGGAGGTGACCAAGAAAAAGCGCAGTAAACAAGAGTAAGGTTGTTAACACAGGTTTAAGTCCTTGCCTTCTACATGGAAGAGCTTCTAGAGATTTAGTCATCCCCCTCTTCCTGGTGCTCAGAGGGAGACACCCTTACAAATGGAGGTTTCCTTTATTAACGTAAATGTCTCTTACAAAAGGGTAACTTCTACTCAGTTTTCACAGCTTTTCCTGTGTCTGCTGTTTCTTAAAAATAATCAGCCTAATATAATCCTTAGGCCAAAGAGAGAGATTTTTACTCCCTTTCAAAATCAAAGGGAGGTATAGGGCCTGGGGTGGCAATATCGATAGGGTTGCCAGATAAAATACATGATGCCTAGTTAAATGTTAATTTCAGATAAGCATTGAGTAATGTTCTAATGTAAATCTATCCTAAATATTACATAACATACCTGTACTAAAACATTATTCTTTGTTTATATGAAATTCACATTTAACTGGGCATCCTGTATTTTTATTTGCTAAATCTGAATGCTGGGTGTTGATTAACTCACCTTCCCTCATAGGAGGCAAACCGGATGGCATTTGTATACTTGTTCTATGTTCAGAATCTCTTTGTATTTGTGTTGGGTTGAAAGATTCTCAGACTGGCTACTTTTCTTATATTGAAGTGTTGAAAACTGAGTCTTGTTGTAGAGGTTAAGAGGAAGTGTTCCAGAGATTAAAAGGGCCTAAAGAAAGCTTTCTCCATTTCCTTCCCTTACTCTCCATCTCTGTCCCTCTTCCTCCATCGTGTGCACATATGCGCACTCAGACATATACACATGAAGATGCATTTGCAAACACAAACATGTTTGGAAAACCACCTGCTTGCCTTTTTAATTGTTTATATTACATTTTTTGTGTTAGAATTTGGTTATTATTATTATTATCATAAGTATCATTGTCTCTCTGGATCTGGCATTTCTTTTAATACTCATACTTAATTCATTTTCCATTGCAGATATTTCTCCTGGCCTGCCCTCCATGTCCGGGAGCTATCGTCATCTTCAAGTAAGGGAAAATTGTTTTTTGCACTGTTGCCACTGCTCTTCAGACTGCTTTGTCTGTTTGGTAACCTAGGATGATGAGCTCATTGCTGTGAACACCGTGGGCCTGCACCATTTAGTCTCTGGGCATCCGAAGGGACAAAAGTGTGTGAGGTCCCCATGAAACAAGGAACTATTCTATGTGGAGATTTGGCTTTTGTCAAGCCCTGACAAATCCTTTTTAGCTATTCCTTGTGGTGGTTTATCGCCAAGGCACGCTCCCTTGGAAGTTTGCTGCCTTCCTAAACTTTCTCTTGAGAGCAAGCTGGGGACAAGTCATTTTCCCTCATCTCAAGAATCTTCTTTATGGCCCTGTTGCTCCACTGAGGTTATGTCTTCACTTCGAAGGCCTTTGTTGTGCTTTTATGTTTTTTTCCCTTAAAATTAAAGTAAGAGCAAAATATCACCTCATTACAAGTCTTGGGTTTCTTAAAAATAGCAAACATTAAATGCATTAAAGTGTATTTCAGGCAAATTCTGTTTATCTGAAGGCCAGTTTGCTTAAACAAAATTCTCAAGAGTCCTGGAACCCTCATTGTAACCATGAGTTGTGACCATCTCATTTATCAAGCCTTTTATTAGAGTTACTAACGAGAAGCTAAATTGACCAAATTAATTTCATCTCTTTTCTCCTTCCCTGGCCCCATTTGGGAGTTGTTCCTGACCAGTGAAATGACCACAGGCCAGGGGGAAGGGACAGGAAGTAAAGAACCCAGAAGATCCTTAGATAATTGAGAGTGGTGTAAATGGCTTTCTGATATACTTAAGTCATTAAAGTGTTAGGTAGGAGAAAATATACCCTATTTGCTGTTTCAAATAGCTTCTTGCAATAGCCACCACCTAGTCTCTTGGCTTTGGTGAGTAACTTTCTGCTGGATGAGAGGTAATGGGACTTGATTTCATATATATCTCCTACTTGGACAGCTCCTGAGGGAAAGGGGTATTTAACACTGTGTCCTCCCTTGATTTTCCAAAATGAGCTCAATTTTTTAGTGTAATGTTTTTAAAGTAACATATATTAGTTTTATTTCTTTATTATGAAGGTAACAATTCACATTATAGAAAATGCAGAGACACATAAAGAAGAAAATGAAGATTACCCTTAATCCTATCATTAAGAGATAATTTTGGTTATTTCAGTTCTAAATAAGGAGAGATCCTCTTTAGGATTTTTACTGTATCTTTTCCAAATGTAATTCATTTTATATATACTGTATTTTGCTGTGTATACTGTGCACTTTTTTGGCCCAAATTACTGAGAGAAAAATAACGATGCATGTTATACATGTGTAGTACTAATTCCATGTCTATATAAAAGTTTTTAATTCTATTATGTATGGTTATGCATTAAACGTGTAACTGCAGAAAGCAATAATGATATCCATATGGAAAATAATACTCTGAAATACAAACATTGGTTTTGTTTCTAAATATAAATACATAAATAAATAATTTAATTTAATTTAATTATCTCTGGCTTGTGTGGCTCAGTGGATTGCGAGCTGGCCTGTGAACCAAAGAGTCATCAGTTCGATTCCCGGTCAGGGCACATGCCTGCGTTGATGGCCGGGTCCCCAGTAGGAGGTGCGTGAGAGGCAACCACACATTGATATTTCTCTCCTTCTCTCTCTCCTCCTCCCTTCTGTTCTATAAAAATAAATACATAAAATCTTTAAAAAAAATAAAGTTAGCCCTGGCTGGTGTGGCTCAGTAGATTGAGTGCCGACCTGCAAACTGAAGGGTTGCTGGTTCAATTCCCAGTCAGGGCACATGACTGGGTTGCAGGCCAGGCTCCTGGTCAGGGGCCCAAAAGAGGCAAGTACACATTGATGTTTCTCTCCCTCTCTTTCTACCTCCTTTCCCCTCTGTCTAAAAATAAACGAATAGCCATGGCTGGTGTGGTTCAGTGGATTGAGCACCGACCTGCGCACCAAAGGGTCACTAGTTTGATTCCCGGTCAGGGCACATGCCTGGGTTGTAGGCCAGGTCCCCCGTAAGGGGGCATGTGAGATGCAACCACACATTGATGTTTCTCTCTCTCTCTTTCTCCCTCCATTCCCTTCTCTAAAAATAAATAAATAAAAATCTCTTTAAAAAGAAGAAATCAATTAATTAAAAAATAAAAATAAATGAATAATATATTTTTTAAAAACTTTAAAAAATTAGAATGAAAGATTTTTTTTCCCCTGAAAGTTTGGGCCAAAAACGTAGGTGCACATTATCCTCAGCAAAATATGGTACATTTTATACATAAAACACATAAGTATGACTGGTGGAATTATTTTTTTATAGCTGCCTTTTTTCCTTTTCCTTCTTTTGTTTGGCTCCTCCATCTTTCCATGACATCCTTATATATTACCAAACAAGTATATATCCTTCCATATTTTTTCCATGTTCATATTTATATACAGACACACACACACAATTGCACAGGTTTTTGTTCATTATTTTACAAACATAGAATTTTATATATAATTTAATACATCTTGCTTTTTTCCACTCAACAGTATCTCATTGAATTCTATCAAAGTCTATCGGTATAAATCTTACTCTTTTAAAACAAGGGTACAAAATATTTTATAGAGGTGCAACAACCTATTTAGCTATTCTCCTATTAATGAACATTTACGTTCATTCTTTCCAGATTTCTGCCACTATAATCAATGCTGAAATAAACATTGTGCGTATGCCCCTGTATACAGGTGATACACGCACATGTGAATTTTTATATATAAATGTATATATATATGTGTTAACATGTATGTCCATATTGATTTACAAAAACAGGCTATTATAATTTACTTTTACCTTTTTTATGTAATATATGAGATTATTCTTTTCTTCATATCCCTACCAGCATAAGGTGTTATAGTTATTTTATGATTTTACAATGTAATGGATAGATTTCCTTGATTACTAATGCAATGCATTATTATCTTATACTTTTTTGTCCAACTAAATTTGCTTTTTGAGTTACTTGTTCAAATTATCTGCCCATTTTTTATGGGTTGTTTATATTTTTCTTAATTCGTAAGAACTCTTCAGATATTGTAGTTATTGGCTCTTTGTCTATCATTGTTATAGATAATCTCTCCCAAGTCTGTATGTGTTGAGTTTACTGGCAGTATATTTTTCCCACAATTTTTTTTTACTTTTTCATATCCAAATATGACTCTTTTTATGTAAGTTCTGTTTTCCAGTCTTGGTTAAGATTATTTTCTTAAAGGTGGATAACCAGTAGCATAAGATATTAAATAATCCCTACTATTCTCTGAGAACTGAACTACCACCTTTATCATGTCATGAACTTTTAGAAAATTCAATTTATTGAGGTGACATTAGCTAATAAAATTATACAGATTTCAGATGTACAATTTATATATTGTATGGTGTGTTCACTATACAAAGTCAATCTCTTCCTGCCATCATAAATTCACCCTTCACCCTTTTCAACTTCCCCCAAGTACCCTCTCCTTATGATAATTACCATTCTGTTGTCTGTCTATGAGGGGTTTTTTTTGTTTAATCCCTTCAACTTTTTCACCCAGCCCTCTAACCGCAAACCCTCTGACAGCTGTGAGTCTGTTTTTATTTTGTTAGTTTATTTTGTTCATTAGATTACACATATAAGTGAAATCATATGGTGTGTCTTTCTCTTACTGGCTTATTTACACTTAGCATGATGTTCTCCAGGTCCATCCATGCTGTGGCAAAAGGTAAGATTTCTTTTTCTTTTTTTTTTTTTTGTAAAATTTTATTTTATTTTATTTTTACTTTATTTTTTTATTTATAAATCATGTTTATTCTATTACAGTTGTCTCAATTTTTCCCCCTATACCCCACGTCGACCCATCCCACCCCCACCCCCCACTCCCACAGTGAGTTCCCACTCTGTTGTCCATGTCCATGGGTCATTCACTCATGTTCTTTGTCTAGTCCCTTCCCCTTCTTTCCACCATTGTCCTCTTTCCCCATCCCCTCTGGTCACTTTCAGTCTGCTTCATGTTTCCGTGCCTGTGGTTTATTTTGTTCATTAGTTTATTTTGTTGAATAGAGTCCACTTATAGGTGAGATCATATGGTAATTGTCTTTCATCAACTGGCTTATTTCACTTAGATTAATATTCTCCAGTTTCATCCATGTTGTCACAAAAGGTTCCATGTCTCTCTTTCTTTCAAATGCAGATTGATTTTATTTATTTTTTTTAAATGTCAAAGTTAACTATAAAATATTTAAAAAGTTTTAAACCCTTATAAAGTCTCAGCAATTAAACCAACATGACACCAGCACAGAAATAATCAAGTAGATCAATGAAATATAATAAACATTCTAGAGACAAACATATATATATCTGTCTGACAATATATGATTAAGTTGATATTTCACATCAATGGGGAAAATAAGGCTTATTCAACAAATAAAGTGCATGGACCACTATTCCTTGAAATAAAACAAATATAGAGCCCTATTTCACACATTATACAAGAAATACTCAGGTGAGCTAAAAATCAATATGTAGAATTTAAGGAGTTTTAGAAGAAAATAGAACTAATATTTTTCATCACCTGAAGTAAAATATTCAAACCAAGAAGCTATAAAGTAAATATTAACAATGTGACTATATTAAACATTTAACTATATAATAATATACATATAACAAAGTTAAAGGACAAGGAATAGAAAAGTATTTGCAACACATCTAAAACATGGTTAATAGGGTTTGTTTTTGTTTTTTGTGTTTTTTTTGAAAAAAAGTTCTACAAACCTGTAATCAGTAAATGGGTAAAGAATACCAAAAAGTCATTTAAAGCTTTTTTTTAAAAAAAAAATAGAAGGCAAGAAATATACCAAAAGAGGTTTACTTTCACAAATAATAAAGCAACAATTAAAATAACAAAATTATCACATTCAGATTAATGACTATTAAAAATATTGGTAATATCATGTATTGGCAACTCTGAAAAG